CATTTGCATCTCTAATGACCAGTGATGTTGAACATTTTTTTATGTATTTATTTGCTGTTTCTACTTTTTTGTCTGAGAAATGTCTATTCATTTCAGATGCCCATTTTTGGATTGGGTCTTTAAATTTGGGAAGTCTGATCTTTTACAGTTCTTTATAGATTCGAGATAGTAGACCTTTGTCTGAGGAAGAGCAGGTGAAAATTTTTTTCCCATCTTATGGTATTTCGTTATACTTTTTTTTTTTTTTGGGCACTGGGAACCGAATTTGGGTTCTTGCACTTGTGAGGCAGGCAGCAGAACCACTGAGCTAAATTCCCAGCCCTGTTATACTTTTGAATAAGGCGAGATCTGCATGGAGTTTACAATTTTGATTTTAAGCATTACAGAGGAAGGACTATGACACTTGGAAAATTTTTAAATGTTGACTGAATAATGTTATAAGGTATATTTTGTGATGTTTTAGGTGGAATTATGAAGTGGTTTTATTTTTATTTTAAAATACTTACCTTTTAGAAATTGAAAAGGCCATCAGAAAATGGAGAGCTGTCCTCTATTCCTGCCTAGGCAGAACCAATATAATCAAAATGACCATACTGCCACCACTCTTATACAGATCTAATACAAACCCAATCAAAATACCAATAGCATTCCTCATGGAATTACAGAGAATAATCTTAAAACTCATACGGAATCAGAAGAGACTTAGAATAGAAAAAGCAATTCTAGGCAACAAGGGCCAGGTAGGGAGATCATGATCCTGATCTCCAAGTTACATACACTACAATGCTACAGTGATTTAAGAAAAAACGGCATGGTATTGGCAAAAAACACACACTTGCAGATCAATGGAAGCAGAAGAGAGGATGCAGAAACAACTCCAGGCACACTCAACTACCTTACCTTTGATCAGAGGGCCACACACTTTTGCTGAAGAAAAGACAGCCTCTTTAACAAATGGTGCTGGGAAAATTGGCTATCCACATGTCAAGATTGAACCTAGATCCATAACTCTCATCATGCACAAAACTAAAATCAAAATGGATCAAAGAGATAAATATTAAAACCGAAACATTTCATCTGCAGGAAGACAAATGGGTAAAACTCTTGAAGACAAAGACAGAGACTTTCTGAACAGAAGCCCAGTTGCAAAAGAACTACACCAAGAATCAATAAAGGGGATCACATCAAATTCAAGACTTGATGCACACCAAAGGAAACCACCAAGAGTAAAGAGACAACCTATAGTACGGAGGAAAAAAAATTGCCAACTACTCCTTAGACAAAGTATATCTAGAATATATACAGAACTCAAAAAATTAGGCCCACCCCCAAATTTAAAGACTCAGTCAAAAAATGAGCATCTGAAATGAATGGACATTTCTCAGATGAAGAAGTACAAATGGTCAGTAAGTACATGAAAAAATGTTCAACATTCCTGGCCATTCGAGAAATGCAAATTAAAATACTGAGAATCCATCTCACTCCACAAAGAATGGCTATCTTCAAGAAAATAACCAATAACTAATTCTGGAGAGGATGAAGAGAAAAGGAACCCTTCTTCACTGGTGATGGGAGTGTAAACTGGTACAACCATTATGGAAATCAGAATGGAGGTTCTTCAAAAAACTAAAAATAAAAATTCCATTTGACCCAACTATTCCCCTTCTAGGTATCTTCCCAGAATACTTAAAGACATCATAGCACAGTGATGTATGCATACCCATGTCTATAATAGTGCAATTCATAGTAGCTAAATCTTGGAAGCAGTCTCTATGTCCATCAATAGATGAATGGATAAAGAAAATGTGGTATTTAGACATAATGGTGTACTACTCTGCCATAAAGAAGGATAAACCTGTGTCATTTGTAGGAAAATGTATGTAACTTGGACCATAATGTTAAGTGAGATAAATCAGATCCATCAGCTTAAGTATTGTGTGATTTCTCTTATATGAGAAAAACAAAATATAAATAAAGTATAAAATAAAAGACAGAATAGGAAAAGTAGCAAGAGAGAAAGTTATTGTAATCCAGCACAAACAATATCTCTAAAAGTGTATCTTTTGTATAACTTTCTTATGTGTTTTATATATTTTTGGCCCATTAGTCTGGCTGTTAATCTGTATTTCTAATAATTGACTTGATAAGGACTTAGAAAATAAATAAATGAATTTGATGCTGGCAAAAAAAATTAAGAGAAAAAAGGAGTGGAGAGGAAAAAGAATTGAGATGTGTTATGTACATGTACCAATTCCCCAGTGAATGTAATCACTATGTACTGCAAACATGCACTAATAAAATTTAAAAACATTCCCATGCCAAAAAAAAAATCCTTCCCTTTTAGATAGAAAGTCTGTAATAGCTACACTTACTTGCAATGATGAAATATCTGGAATTTGCTTGACAATATTCTGAGAAAGAACAAATATTAGAGAGGGAAATGTTAAAGGTCTAACTAAGATGTAAAAAATGTATTTCCTTTGCATACTATACTAAAAATTTATAATTGAAAAATACAATACAAAAAACTGCTCCACCCAAGATGCCATATCATGTAGTTCATTTAGAGATGAAAGATATTATTGCGTTATAAACACACGTTATTTGTCTAATAATTCTGTTCTGCTAATGACACCCTGCCAGCATCCTCCCCAGCTCACTGCTCCGAACAGGAGAGATCTATGGTCTGTAGGGTCCGTTAGTGACAACGCTAAGTATCCTGCGATAACTACCTTGCTGGTTCTGGGATAGTTAGCAGAACAGATAGGAAAGAAGCAAAAATACTCCTCCTCTAATCCCTGCGCAAGGATGTGGCAAGAACGAGGACTTTGGGGAAGAAAAAATATCCCAGAATGGCCCTGGCAGAAGACCAAGATCTGCATGCAATGCCACACTCAATTCCCCTTTCTCCCAAGTGTAAAATAATGTTTCCATTCTCTGAAAGACTATGAGACTGAAAATCCTTTTGTAATCCTGAAGAAATGCCGGTATGCTGGTGATTTAGGAGAGGGATGCTCCAGTCACTGAAATATGCTGTACTTCAGTCCCACTTCAGACACTCTGAAGATGGAAAAAGAAGGGAAAGGCCCTTCTCCGTGCTCTCCTTTCTTGGCCCCATTTCCTAGGACGCCGTCTTAATGCCTGAAGTTATCAGGCTGTCCTCAGAAGTGCAACTTATCCTGACGTCTCAAGAAACAGAAAAGTTGTCAAAGTCCGAGGAATGAGTCACTTTGCTCCGTTTTGATGAGTAATCTCAGGTGTCAAAGAACCCTTTTCTGAAGAGAGGGGAGGGGGCGTCAGAGGAAGACAGGCCGCTCTGGATTGGATGTGGAGACTTCGATTTTCCTAAGGCTGCGTCATTTAGAAGCCAATTGGGTCCAGATGTTATGGGCACCGACGGGTTACCGTCTCGGAAACTCTCAATCACGCAAGCGAAAGGAGAGGAGGCGGGTAATTAAATATTGAGCAGAAAGTCGCGTGGGGAGACTGTCACGTGGGCCTCGAAGCTCGTCACTCCTGGGATAAATACCGCGAAGCAGGGAGCAGGCTAAAGAGCGCTCTCGGACCTCCTCCTCCACCGCCGCTGCCAAGGAGAGTGCGGAGCCCGGGGGTGCACGCATTGCAGCGGAGACCCAGGCCGAGCGCCGCAGTAAGTACGCGCCCGGCCGCTGCTCCCCGCGCTCCAGACGCGCATCTGTCGGGAGGGCGGTCGGGGCGCCGTGGCGGAGAGGGACGGGGGAGACCGATCAGCTACCGATCAGCTAGTCCAAGGCCAACGCCCCTCTTTGTCTTCCACCTGCAGAGTCTACAGGCTTGAGGGTGTGGGTTAGTGGGCTGGGGCCCCGGGGAGCTGAGACTGGAGAGGAGATTTAAGAATGTTTGGGGCGTGATTCTCTTTCCTAAACCTTACAGGTGAGATTTTAGCCCTAACCTGAGTTCCGTTGTGGGGCCGAAAATTATTCTCTTGGAAATATATCTCTCTCCTCGGTGTCTTCTCCTCTGCTCTTCTCAGAAATCCAACATGAAAATCCTCGTGGTCTTGGCAGTCTTTTTTCTGGTCTCCACACAACTGTTTGCAGAAGAAATTGGTGCCAACGATGATCTAAATTACTGGTCCGACTGGTCCGACAGTGACCAGATCAAGGTGAAACTTGGTCCTGGGATGGCCTGCGCCTTTCTCCCTGGCCTTTGGAACTGTTACTTTCCCCCGAGATCGCACCCCAAGGAGCTTTGAGGGCACCGCGGCTGCGACCAGAGACAGTGGAGGCGCGCGGTGGGGAGGTCACGAGGGTCGTCACCCGGGTCCGCCCGGGGGATCCTGCACCCACAGTCTGAGTTTCCCCCTTAAGACTGCGTTGCCCAGTCGTTCTGGGCATTCCTGAAGGAACGTCTCGGTCCTCCTCGGAAGGCTGAAAACCTTCCCTACTAATAGGGATTTGGGGGCCTCCGTCCAGCCACCCGGTCCGCGCGCTTTTGAAAAAGCAGGGCAGGGACAGAAGAGGGCTCGTCAGTCACTGGGAGAAGCGGGCGCCAGGGTGAGCAGCTGGGGGCCTCACGAGGTGGAGGTTAGTGGAAAGCTAGCTTCCTGCCTGCACACTTGTTTCGAGGGCCCAGGAGGTAGCTAAGTTTCCTTTTAGACGGTCTCGGGTATTGGTGCGAAACAGTGCGCCCCTAGAAAATTTGAACGTCACGCGGTTCAGCCCGCCTGTGAAGTGTAGCCACCTTCTTCACCCCAACTCCTCCCGCTCCCACACACACCTCTTTGTGCTCTTAGGGCAGTGAAGGGACTCCAAAGTCCGCACCAGACAACAATCAAAGTCACGGGGAGGCGCTGTAGATAAGGAAGGGTCTCCCCGATGGGGGGGGGGGGGGGGAGGTAGGGCTGAAAGCGCTCAAGGCTGGAAGATACCCAGCTTCTGCTAATTAGTCAGGGCGGAGAAGAGAAGGCGGCCCGGGGCGCTTAGGGGTGGAGAGAACGCCGGGCTGAACCCTGCTCGGGCACCGGGAGTCCTTGGATTCCTAGCCTCCCCTCCAGTCGAAGCTGACCTCCACGCTGAGCACCCGGGCTCCTCGCTGCAGGGTGGGAATAGCTCTTCCTGGGTGCTCACTCTGCCTTGTCTTTGCTTCTTGTTCCCCAGGAGGAGCTGCCGGAGCCCTTTGAGCATCTTCTGCAGAGAATTGCCCGGAGACCCAAGCCTCAGCAGTTCTTTGGACTAATGGGCAAACGGGAAGCTGGTGAGATGAGCAACCGTCCTTTGGTCTCTGGGGACAGGCACTAGCTTGTTTCTCAAGTGTTTCTTCCCCCTTGGGGTAGACATTTCCATCCTGGATTTAGAGTTATAACTCCCAGACTCAGACTCCAGCTTGAGCCTCGCTAAAGCATAACTCACCACCCCCTCACCCCCTGGAGGGCCAGACCCCTGCTGCATGCTTCACAGTAAGAAAGTTACCCGAAACAGGAACCCGCCTTAGTGAGGCACTGCCTTGACTACAAATCCAAAACTCAAAGAAGGGGAAGGCATAGGCCTCCTAGGGGTAGTACTCTGGATGGTCCTTGAGCAGGTGAAAGCTGACCTTCCAATATTCTCAGGGTGGATTAGGTTTGGCTGTCCCTTGTCACCTAATAGAAATATTCAGTTTCCTTGAGTTCATTGCACCATCAGTGAAAAGTGTGAATAGTTAACGTCAATTGTCTCTTGTCAGATTCCTCAATTGAAAAACAAGTGGCCCTGTTAAAGGCTCTTTATGGTAAACATTCCTATAAATCTTTATTTTACCATTGTGAAGGCACATGTAGGAAAGTGAAGAAACTCATTTATGGGCTGAAAAACAAGATTTTACTAATGCCTGTTTAAGACATAGATTTGTTTCTCTCTCTCTCCTCTCCTCTCCTCTCCCTCTCTCTCTCAGAAATGAGCAGCCAGCCTTGAAAATATGTGATAGTACAGCATAGCCTTATTTTAATACAGGCTGCACGACTCCCATAGTTCTGGCTTTGAATCTGTGGCCCATAGAAGGCACTTAATACTTCTTTTGTCTACTAAAATATTTACTTTCATCAATAATTTTGTTAGCATTTATGGTTCTGCTATATTCCTCAGGATAATACCAAAACAGAAAATATTACATATTTTAAAAATCAATTTATTGTATAATTCTCTCTAAAAGATAGAATGTAACTGTCTTTAAAACAAATTTATATGTGTTTTTTAATTTTATCTTTCTCTATTCCAGGACATGGCCAGATCTCTCACAAAAGTAAGTTCAAAATTATTTTGACATTTATGCTAATGTTAATTATATTAAATTCTACTTTACATATCACCTTAATTTCAGTCATAATTTTGAACCTAATATTTATAATTAAGATAACATAAGGTAGGAAACTCACATCCAGAATGTGCTTAAATACTTATTATGAATTAACTGTAATTTATGAATAAACTCTGTAATTGCCAAAAAGATACATTATGCTAAAAAAGAAAAAGTCTTTTCCTACCTTAAATTGTTAGTTTTAAATTTCCAATGCTATGATCAGAAATCTATCACCTACATTCATCTCTATCCTCCTCCTCTATGTCCACTTACACTGCACAAAACTAAACTGCACAAAACTAAACAAGTAAACTTCTGACTCATCTTAGTGAGCTGAATCCCATAACAACAATCATTTTGAGTGGTCATCCATAAGTCAGTTAAGTGGAATGTGGTATCTGTGTAGGGAATCCACACTAAAGGTAAAGATGAATGGAGATGCAATTTACTTTATCCCCAAATCAAATGGGAACCTAAATTCATCAAAGATGAGTGAACTATCTCAGGATAGGGAAGATGGCAGAATTGTGGCACTAAGAGGGTCATTAGATCACATCCCAGAATAATGCAATCAGAGTTGACAGCAAGTCTGGAGTCCATCTGATCATGTTGTCCACCTTTTGTGCAATCGCGGGTTTGACTCAGTGGGTGACCGAGTAGTCCCCAATAAAGTGGCAGCCCTCTTCTCAATGAATACAGTTAAAAACAAAAGAAATTACCCCACCAGTATTAAAATAGTAACCTTTTCCCAGGGCTTCATCTTTGAAAATAAATCAGTCACATTTACTTCTAAGGATTTCACTTTCAAGGGAATTACAAAACTCTATGTAATAAAAATAAATTTACCCTATTAATGTCAAACCTCATGTACTTCCCCAAAAGGAGTATTTTTAAAATTCAATGAAACAATGATCTTTTAGGAGATTACAGTCATCCAAGATAAGGCTCTGACTTAACTGATTCACTTGCTAGAGAATACAATATATTTAATAACATGAAGAAATAAGCTTGGATACTTCTCTCACACAAAAAATGTGAAATTGATTTCCTCAAAATCAAAGTTAACTCAAATAGCAACAATATTTAAAACTTTATATAACAAAGTATAATATAGATAAAAGGTACTTATTAACATTTAAATGTAGATTAAGAAAAGTGCTTTAATTGTATTGGTTTAGCATAATTTATAAGACTTATAAGGAATCTTCATTTCTTCAGGCTCACCAAAACTAGAAATAGATATATATATTTATTATATAAGCATATACTCAGAATCTTGTTATTTTATACAAGTTATAACTACTTATTTCCTCAAAGATATTATACATATTAAAATACCCCTAAATGTATTTTGCAGGGCATAAAACAGATTCCTTTGTTGGACTAATGGGCAAAAGAGCTTTAAATTCTGGTATGTATAAAACCATGACTGAAAATAGTATCTCAAATCTACTTCTATTATTTTATAAGGCATAATTTTCAAAGTGTTAAACTGTCTATTATAGACTTTAAATGAAAATTTATGACAAAAAATTGAATTGTAGCTTGTAGTCAAGAATGGATTTATAGCTGATTAAGCTAACATCACTAGAACATCAGTCTATTTTCCTCAGACCATCGGCTTTACCAGTGTCTGCTCAGTTAACCACTGCCCACTCTGAACCTTGGGGCAGCTTAATACAATATATTCTTTCCCATAGATCTGTTCAGCAAGCCATATTCAACCTTACTGAACCAGCAGAGGTGGGGAGGGGGATGGTACAGGGAGAGATGAGAGATTTTCATTTATGACCAAAGTAATTTGAAAGGTGTATAAGATGTTACATCTGGCAATCTTCTGACACAAAAATAAACAAAACAAAAATTTTATACAAATCACTTGCTCTTTACAAAGTTATAGAAGCTCAAAATCTAAATGTCCTGATGGATGTTGGAAAAGATGGATGATATGCTTCATTCCAGTGCTTTCAAAAGGGAGCACAATTGAATCATCCTGGAGTGTTATAAATCAGTTCAGGCTCTAAAATCCTTAGAGAGAAGGGATGCTACAATTCTCATAACTCATTTCAAATTCAAACAACTCTTTCACTGAATATAAAACCTACAAAATTCCTTCCTTTAGTTTGCATCTTCTATGTAAATGTCCCATACAAATGTCTCAAAACTCTTATTTCATAACTCACTGATTACAGTGTTTTCAGAGTTAAATAACTCCTATAATCATTTTCCTGAAAACTGAGTTTTTGTTAAGCACAGCCAAGCCTGGTAGCCCCTTGTCTAGGGAAAAGCTATTCAAATTCTCTTTATTTTACCTTCCATGAAAATAGGTTAAAATACTAATCATCTAATTAGTAATTAGTAGTTGCCATATCCATTGAGAATATTTCCACTTTCTGGGAAATCTGTAAGATATGCAGGCTTAACTCTTAGTTATCTGGATTCGTGCAAAAAAAAAAAAAAATCCTAGTATTTTTATTGGATTTTTGCTTTCCAGATTTAGAGACGACCTCATATTTATCACCAGTAATTTGGGGTCTATTCAAATTTAAGTTTAAAAGAAGTTATCAGTTTACCTAATGAAAACCTTGTGATCTTTTTATTAATATATATTGTATTCCAGATTTTGGATATGGGAAATTTAAACAACAGTGGCATTTATCTGTATCCATACATACTAGTCTGCTCATAACTAGGATTTTCATAATAACTGTATTAGCTATCATTTCTTCGATTCCAGAATTAATACAGCTTTCAGAATATGCTTCACAAATATAAATATAATGCAGTTTAGAATAGATTAAACATACTTAAGATAATAATGTAATTATAGATAATAATAAATAGAATCACCATAATTACGTCTTTGTTCTCCCATTTTAGTTAAGAAAGCACAAAAAAAAATATATAAACCATAGTCAGAGACCATTTCATATGTTCAGTCGAGATTCTGACTATTTCATAGTCACAGACCACTTTGACAAGCTGATAATGTAGGGCTTCTCCCAGAGAAACCCTCACCAACTCAGACACAGAAACTGACATATGTTTTCAGAAGGTTTGAGGACGAGATAAGAAACTTTGTGTTCCTTGAAAGAGATATTATGTCCTGCTAAATGGCTAATCTGTCTGTAGTTTGTTTAATTAGCATTCATCTCACTCCTCTGAGGAACAAAGTCTTGTTATCTAAAACTTGAGTTACTCATCACTCCTCTAATAAAAACACAGCAGAGTGAGAAATGAACTTTTCCTTCCTTCAGAACTGTCTGCTTGGGAGGGAGCTCAGTCTGGTCCACCTCAGAATAGTATGCACAACTGATGTAAAACTTTGTTTAGTGCTCATCTCATTTAAGGATAGATGGATGTTAGAGATCCCTGCTAGGTGAGGGAAGTGCTAACTGATGGCTTTACCCACCTTCTCTCTCAACAAACCTTTCTAATCTAATCAAGGAAGCATTTAGAGTAGCACTACTTAAGTTCAGTATTTTCTGTGGGGCAAACTGAATTTTAGAAAGCAAAGCAATTTTACAGTAATATAAATTTAAGGGAATGAAATGCTGCCTAAGATGATAAAGACTATCGTTAGTTGTGTGATTATAGTAGTCTAGTCCTAGATCTTTTGTGGTTACAAATCCCTTTGAAATTATATATAATATAATGTAACAGAACATAATTTTGGAATCTTTTTGGTCCAGAGAGTCAAAATACTTAAATTACCTACTAGCTATACGTTAAGTGCCCTTGCAAGCAGTAATTCATCTTTCATAGGCCACTAGAGTGTTGAGAGATAAACTGAACTGTACTGCCTTTAGAGGGTTCAGTTGATTTTTCTACAGAAAACAAGACTGATTTAGTCTCCAGTCTTGCATCAGGAGGTACCCACAGGGGGGAAGATATTTTCATGCCATTCAGTGCCTCTAGAACAGGTATCAGTAAAGTTTTTCTGAAGAAAAACTAGATCGAAAATATTTTAGACTTTGTAAACATATGATCTCTGTAGCAACTATTCAAATCTAGCAGTGTAAATCCCAAACACAAAGTGAATGTGTTTGTGTTCCAATAAAACTATATTTACATGAACTATTTGTGGGCTATATTCACCTCATGTCCTGTAGTTTATTTACATCTGTCCTAGGCTAAAAGTATCACTTTTCACTTTCATCCTACCAACATTCCTGGTTACTTTAGGAATGGTTCTTTCTATAATTCACTAGTGTCTGACAGTGCTTAAGAAAGCTTGTGAAAGCAACATTGCCATATGTCAAGGAATATAATATATTGCTTTCAGGGCACCAAATATGCAATAGATGACTGAAGAAACCAAGAGTTCTGTGGTTAAGAATCAGAGTAGAGTGAGGAAGGATTTTAAGATGTACAAATAAAATTCTCAGAGCTTTCAATGGAAGGAAAAAGTCATTATGACTTTATAACAAATTACTGCATGCATTGAACTTCATTTATTTAACTCTCTCAGTGAACCTTCTTAAAACACACTCTACCTCCTTTCTGTTTTCAGTGGCTTATGAAAGGAACGCAATGCAGAATTATGAAAGAAGACGTAAATAAACTACATAACGTTATTTATTCAGCTTCATTTGTGTCAGTGGGCTATTAAAGGTAAAATAAAACATGCACTATAAGGAATAATTATTTATTTAAAAACAATTATTGTTATGAGTTGAAAACTCAGAGAAAGTGTTTATTTTTCATATTGTGCTAATATGTGTTGTAAACATGTGCTATAATTCTAATGACTCCCCAGAAGTAGAAATCAGTAATAATTTCTCAAGAAAGCACAGTGTTCAGTGAAATTATAAAACCTGTGATATGGTCTCCAAAGGAAGAAATCATTGATTTGAAGCAGTCATGACTGCCACTACAGAAGGGAAGGAAACTCCTGTGCAAAATTGTGTTTCTTGTTGGGTTTCATGGTAAAAATGCACTGAGACCTTGGTATCAAGCTGTATTTGTGTCTCTGCAGCATGTTCCATGTTTTGTGCCTATATGAAGATGTTTAAAAAAGTTTTAATGTGATTCAAAAGTCTTGATTCATTGTATGGTGTGATGTGATAGCTACCATTTTAAATAAAAGAAAAAATATCTTAAGGATTGTGTCATATTCCTTCATTAATATTTATGTCAAATCAGCAATCTTTTATGAAGTGTGTTCAAAGGTGTTTTGCTTGAAATGCGCTGTTTCTCTCTCTCACTGTCTCTCTCTTACACACACACACACACACACGATGTGCTCACACATGTTTTTGCAAAGTCATTTGACATGAGATGATTTATGGAGAAAACAGTTGCATTTCAGAATCCAAGGAGTAAAGACTAAATTCTGGTTAATCATGCCCATGATTCCGTGTTATAGCTAGAATTATAATCTACTTTAAAGATGAATTTCACTACTTATTTTCTTGAGTAAAATGGTAGCACACTGCTAACTCAGCCCTATTTAAAGCCCAGTGCATGAGCACAGTATAATGCACAATGGTTGAGTCTCCCCAGAATGAGGATATCAAATTAGACTCTTACAAGGTCATCAGAGAATGGTAGAGACAGTTGTTCAAGGAGTAAATTGATAATGCCCATAACTCTCCTTCTAATAAAAGCCTTGGGAATAAATACAAAGCAATGAGAGGGAGGCTCTCATGTATTTATTTCAGGGGAAGAACTAATAAGTATCTGTGAAATCATTTGCCAGTGGCACAGAGTGTGAAATATTGACAAGTGTAAAACAATACAGGACAGCACAGCTCAGTGATATAAAGCTCCACAAATTCGGCCTATACTGGTGACTGTTACTCATCAATGGAACCACTTGAAGGACAGAGGAGACAAAGCATATTTTAGCTTTTATATCTTTAATTGAGTAGTTTGCTTTAGAAACCCTCCAATTAATTTTCTTTATACAGTATGTTTAAAAATTTCAAAGTATATAATGGTAAGTAAAATGGAGAACGTCCAAGTCATATAGCCCCATCCCTGAAACAGCAACATTTAACATTCTATTAAATAATTATTATTCATATCTAAAATTATATATATTTAGTCATTCAATTTTCAATAGTCATTCAAATGACAATATTATTTCTATTTCCACTTTACAGATGAGAACTTTAAGCTTAAGGGAATTTATGAGCCAGACATTTTAATATGAGAGAGTCAAGATTGGAAAAGAATTATTGAGGAAACAGCAGAACAAATTAATATCTAACTATGAAACTGAGTAAACAAACATTGATACAATAATATGATGCAGTCATTTAAAGTAATATGGTGTGTTTAATAACTTGGAGCAACATATATGTCTATTGTTAGATACACAGCAGTATTTTCAAATGCTACATTTAACTGAGTTTCTGTGTTTAAACAGGGTAAAACCAAAAGAATAGATGAAAATATCAAGGCAGAAGGGGAACATGTTACAAAATAAAATCTAACCTTCAGAGAGCAAGAAAGCTTAAAATTTCTTGGTAAATAAAAACAAAAATACTAACAGAAACCTATTCATATTTATAATAAACATGTAATTTTATCAGGTTGTTTAAAAGACAGAGATATCAGATTGGTTAAAAATAAAACCTAGCTATTCATTATTTACCAAGACAAACCTGAAAAAAAAGAATAAAGAATTGTTGACAATATAGTGATGTAAAAAAAGAATACTTCCCAAATGATTACATGATTCAATAACAACATTGCACTCAGACAAAATAGAATTTAAGGTAAAAATTCCAGGTTATCATAAAGGATGTTTATCATAAAAGAAATAATCTACTAAGAAAACATAACAATGGTAAACATTTATGAACATGAAATATGTTCAAATATATAATGGCCAGCAGAAATATTTAAAAGTATCTAAAAACCATATCTTTCATAATTTTGTGAGACATCACAGTTTTTTTCACTTTAGTCAAAAAGTAAGCAAGGGTAAGAAGAATTAATATAATTAAGAATAATCACAAAGTAGACATACAGAGTATTACAACAGATATATGTAATTAAGAATGACTATACATGCAAAAAGACAAAAGATATCAGCAAACTGAATTCCACAGCTTATGAGTAAAGAAGATTTATCCCTGAAATACATGATGTTCACCACGCATAAATAAATAAATGTAATACATCTCTTACATATCATATTACTGTAAGGAAGTTTAAAATGTATGTGATCATTTATTTTTCTGTCATCAAGACAGAAAAAACATTTGACAAAATTCCACATTTTTTCAGGATAAAAAATTCCCAAGAAATTATATAAGAAATGTACTCCACCATAATAAAGTCCAACTGTTAACATATTCAACAGTGAAATACTATCAGATTTTCTAAGATAAGGAATAAGACAGAGATGACCACTTTCACCACTTGTATTCACTATACTACTTATCTAGTCCTAGATAAAGTAACTAGTAAAGAAAAACAATACACCCAAATTTCAAAGGAGAAAATAAAACTGTCTTTGTAGATGATATTACCTTATTTAAGGAAAATCATAAAGATTCCACCAAAATACTGTTGAAACTAGTGATTTCACTAACGTTACAGAATATATAATCAACATATATGATTAGTGGCATTTTCTGTACACCAATGGGCTATCAAAAAAAAAAAAGAAAAAAATCCAAAAAGCCATGCATTTATGATAGTATTAAAATGAATAAAATACTTGTGAATAATTGTAACCTAGGAAATGAGATATTTATACACTGGAAACTATAAAACATTGATAAAATAAATTGAAAAAGATACAGATAAATGGGATCATCTTGGATCCATGGATTAGAAGAGTTTACATCATGAAAATGTCTATATTACTCAAAGCAATCTACATATTGAATTCAATATCTATTAAAATTCCAATGACATCTTTCACAGATTTTTCTATACCCTAAAATTTATAAGGAATTACAAAAGACCCCATGTAGCCAAGACAAGATTGAGCAAAAAGCAAAACTGGAAGCATCACAATACTTGACTTCAAAATGCACTGCAAAGCCACAATGATCCAAACTGCCTGATTTTGGCATAAAAACAGACACACAGGACAATAGAAGAGAACAGAGAGCCCACAGATAAATCCATATTTACATTTAATTGGTCTTCAACAAAAGTGCCACGAACATACTATAGGGGAAAACAGTCTGTTCAATAAATCATGGCAACAAAACTGAATGTCCAAATGAAGAAGAATAAACTTGGAACATTATCTCTTACCATGTAAAAAATACCAACTCAAAATGCACTAAAGATTTATATGTAAGGCTTGAAACTGCAAAACTACTAAAAGAAAATATGGGGGAAAATTTCTTGGCATTGGTTAGGGAGATGACTCTTGGCTATGAACCCAAAAGCACAGGCAACAAAAACAACAATAGACAAATGAGATTGCATCAAACTGAAAAGTTTCTGCGCAGCAAAGGAAACAATGAACAAAGACACAAGTAAGCCTACAGAATGAGAGAAAATATTTGTAAACCATTCATTGATAAGAAGTTAATGTCCAAACTGCATAAGGAACTCAAAACAGCAGGAAAACAAAACTTAGCTGATTAAAAATTGGGCAAGGGACCTGAATAGACATTTTTTCTAAAGAAAACATATATATGGCTATAGGCATGTGAAAATGTTCCATATCAGGAATATTCAGGGAAATACAAATCAAAACTACAACAATCTATATAACTTTTCCATTAAAATGGCTATTACTAAAATGACAAATGATAACAAATGTTGGTAAGGATGTGGAGAAAGGAAACTTGTGTTCTTTTGGTGAGTAGGTAAATTAATATATCCATTATAAAAACAGTATGGATATTCCTCAGAAAATTTAAAGTATAATTACCATACAATCCATTAATCATACTTCTGGGTATCTATACAAAGAAACTGAAATATCTGAAAATACCTCAAAGAAATATCTGAACTCCTGCGTTCATACCAGTATTATTCACAATAGCCAAGACACGGAATAACTATGTTTCCATTGACTGATAAATGATTCAAGAAAATGTGTTGAGGGGTTTGTTGTAGATGCTAATTTAGCTTTTAAAGTGTAGGATATCTTGTAATTTGCAACTACATAGATGAACCTGGCAGATACTATGCTAAGTGAAATTAACCAGGCATACATAAGACAAATACTTGATGATATTATTTGCCTGTAGAATTTAAAAATGTTGAACTTATAAAAGCAAAGAATAGAATAGTGGTTACCAGGGACTGAAAAAAGAGGAAAGGAATGTAGGTATATTTGTCAAAGTGTATAATGCCAGTTAGGATGAATAATTTATAGATCTCTATTGTGCAGAATAATGACAAAAGTCATTGATAATGTATTACATATTTGAAAATTGCTAGGGAACAGATCTCAAGTGTTCTAATCATAAAAACAGAAGTTCATAGGCCAGGGATTTAGCTCAGTGGTTTCGCCACCTGCTGCGCAAGCGCAAGGACCCGAGTTTGATCCCTGGTACCCCCTCCTCCCCCAAAAATAGAAGTTCATGAAATGATGGATATGTTAACTAGCTTGATTTAATCATGTTACAAACTTACACATGTATAGAAACGTCACCTTGTAAACCATAAATGCATACAATTTTGTCAGTTATAATTTAATGAAGCTGAGAGGGGACTGATATGTACAATGAGTACATGTTAAAATAAAATTCAAAAATATTAAAAGATATACAGTACCAATATGCTTGAAACATTACCTGTACAGTTGATTTTGCAAATAAGGATATTTACAAATTTTCCAGAAGGAAATCTTATAAATATGTCTCTAATCCCCAGAACCTCTAAAAAAAAGTGAACTTTCATACTTTTATCTAACTTTCATCAAAGATGTATGCAAGATATGAAGGATGAAATCTATATGAAAATGAAAAATGCAGTACTACATAAATTAAATAAGTATTCATTTAAGACAAAGAATATCTGGTAAGGTTTCAGTGGAAGACAAGAAGCTTCCTCTGGGCCAGTTTTTCTCAAGCTGTAGTCCTCAATCCTTTAGAGTACAAAGACACTATCAGGAGAGTCATAACATAAAGATTACTTTTATAATAATACTGAGAAGTTAT